AGCAGACCTCTCTATGAAGAGGGCTTGTTCTGCATATCGGGCCTGCTGCCCCCTCAGCAGAGAGTCACCTATAACAATGACCCTTCAAGGTTTCTTCTCAGGGTCAGTTTTGACGGGTGGCCTGAGGGAACCTGCCTTTGGTGCAGCTTCTGGCCCTTCTGATTCATTATCCTTACTGACTTCCTGAAGAACCTCATACCTATTCTGCAAGTGTAATATTCCAGTGTTGAACAGACCTGGATATACTCTCTGCTAGTGTAAAAACACATCTAGCCATGCCCTTGACTTTGCAAGGAAATGAAGTCCCACAGAACTGAAGGAGCACAGACACAGAGTTTTTCTCCTCGGACCAAGCTGCACTTCCAGAACTGAAGTGACACCAAACCACACAGTTCACAATAGAACAACCAGTTCCGGACTTTAATCACTTTCCCCATAGGAGGCAAGTTGCAATTAAGACAAAACCTACTGGGCTGAAGTTCATTTGATGGAAACGCACCTGTTGTGTCAAAACCAGTGACAAGAACAGCATGATTTGGTCTTCCACTGGAGCAGTGATATTGTATGATCCCACCAAGATAATCCTGCCAGCTAACCGCGTCTACTGTCACTGCCAAAGGGCCCCAGTTAACAAGCATCTTCATCATTTCTTCTTCTTGACCACTGTGAAAGGAGGGGGTGATGAGGCCCAGTTACTTAAGTTTGCACATGAAAGCAACCTGAGAGGTGCCAATCTACTTAAGTACAATTTAAAAATCAGATAATTAAACTGTTTCCTCCGAGTTCTACCCACCACATAACACACACGAGTAATTATGTACTTCATATACCGCAACACAGTAACACAAATACAGGGCACACAGACTGGGGGAAAGGTGCAAATCCAAATACACTAATAAAAAAAAAACCCAAACGAGGTTTCTGGGTCAAGTCAGTGGGCAATGGTGAATACTATGTACCTTTTATGCATCACTCTTCTCAACTAAAAACAGCTTTGGGCAAACCACTAGTCTATATCATTATTTCCTGTTAGGTTTTCAAACGTACAGAAGTACCTTTTATATCAACTGCAATAATACATTAAAATATGTATCTCAGGCCTATCAAAACACAGGACAGTACCACCCTCAGACATTTACCATCAGCATCCTCACACAGTTTTACTTGTGTTATGTATTGGAACAGGAAATCTTTATCACTGCATGGTATGTGTAATAACTAAACTGGGGAAACACAGAATGGCAAAACTATAATTGTTTTTAGTTACTTAAATCTGGCAGTAGTTGAATTCCTAGTCAGAATTATATTTCCTGTCTTTAAGTTCAGTATGCAGCTGTATTGTACTCATAAAAACTGGAAAACAAATTTTCTTGTTACAGAAGCCTAAAAAGCTACCAGTTGTCCGTACAAAATTTGGTTGATAACACTGTTTGTAAAGTCAGACAGGAGGAGGATGTGGTTGGGCATGTAGATGGATAAGTACCAAAGTAACTGAATACTTCCTAATTTTTTCAACAAATTCCAACTTCTATTGGTAGGTTTTTCCAATTCTGATACTTAAGGAGTGTAGTGTTCACTTAGCATATATTAAGAATTGTAACTGACTCAATGTTCCAGTTTAACCATAGCCAATCAAAAAGACCTAATTTCAAGACACAGGCTTTAAGCTTTTGAATTTGAACAGGCTCAGGGTTGAGTGGCTTCACTGTGGCAAGCCTTAACCCTCACAAGTGTTGTGTATTAATCCTTATCCAGTACACAGCTACAGAACTGATGCAATCAACCTTTGGCTGGTCAATGCACTTTTGGCTCCAGCTGACTCTGCAGTTACTGAACACAGAAGGAAAAGTACAGCAAATAAAAAGAATCAATAGTAGCTACCTGAAGTCATACGCAGCAAATCCTGTTATTGAAACTCCAAAATCTGAGTGACCAAAATAATGGCACAGTCCTGTTTGAGCTTTAAAAGTGTATTCTGAATCTCTTACGAGTTTTACTTTCGTCTGCAAGAAGAGAAATGAATGACAATGTAATGCATTTGACCTCAACACTATTCAGGTCCAAACACATGGACAATGACCACAGAAATCACTCAAAATTCATTGTGTTCTTGGAGAGATTGGAAATAAGAATGTCACGTTGGGCAATAAGGTATTTAGAATCTCTAGTTTCCTTGTTCATGGAGAAAGCTTCAGAAGGGATTCAGAATAATGAAATTTAAAAGGTATCTCTGGTTTAAAGAAGCCTCATGAGCAATCATCAATTTCAAGATGCAGACCTTAACCATACATTCAATTAATGACTATTCATTCTCTTCAAAGGACATTGACACAGAAAATTATCCTCTTCTTGGGTCAGCTCAAGAACTACAACTATCCCAAGAACAGTTACATGAAATTATGTCCAATTCTGCTGTTAGCATCAAGTTCTGCTGCTAATATATAATAATTATAATATCTTCCACAGTTAAAAGTCCAGCTATGAAGCTACTGCATCAACCTTTCATATTTTTGTCTTCTGCAGTGCAGTATGTTTATGATAGTGTCTTCTTCAGTCTAATTAGTAGTCCCTCTGTTGCCAAGCAAGAGGGAATTTTGCTCCAGAGGAATCCAAATGAATAAATATCCTGTGTCTTTCCTGAAATGCAAACTCTAACAGGTTATCTAGGCTGTTATGAGCTGGGGTTTTAAGAATCTTTAGGGGTAGAATTACAGAGTTTCTTGAAAGGGACAATTGTTTTTTATATAAAACTTCAAGAAACTAAGAAATTCTTTTTATATTCTTGTAACTCAAACTGTCATCCTAGAGATTACCTTTTTATTTCTAAGATATTAACATGTTTCTGCTTACAAATGTTATCCCTGGGGGTCTTTAAGGCCAGGCTGGATGAGGCTCTGGGCAGCCTGATCTAGTGGGAGGTGTCCCTGCTCATGGCAGAGGGGTTGGAACTGGGTGATCCTCGTGGTCCCTTCCAACCCTGACAGATTCTGATCTGTTTTAGCAGAGGACTTTAGAGCCCTAATGGCTCAATGGTTGGTCTTGATGATCTTGGAGGTCCCTTCCAACCTAAATGATTCTATGATTCTATGATTCTATTAACACTGTGTCTGCATTTTTCATTAATGAAATGTGTTAGCTACAATTAAAGGAGAAACTATGCCTGCATTTTCATTGTTTTGGGTTGCTAGTGAAAATAAGGTAAACACAACTTGATTTTATTCTGACGTCCTCCACACTCATGCATGACTTAGTGTTTGCAACAGAAACCGTAGAAATTTGAAAGCAGAAAATCTCAACATCCCTCCTTTTCCCCAGATCCTGGTGCCTAAACTGGACACTCAAAACCCAAAAACTGACACGTGGATAAATGGCTCCTTCTGCATGGGTACTGTACATCTGCAGTTTTGACTGAATTTAGTGGGAATACTGTACTTTTCAAGGAACATTTTTTTAAAACCCTGTAGGTTGATTTGTTACACTCACAAAAACACATATAGACCATAAAATTCCAATAAAATTTCAGTTCTGCTTGAAAAAACTCTCTTGGTTGCAGACTAAATAAACATGCATACACACACGTATATGCACATATATGTGTGTGTATATATATATAGATATATACACACACACACAGAGGTCTAAATAAATAATGTTAAAAAAAACAGTCAGATGAGCTGTACACTCTACTTTCCCCACCACCTATTTCCCCAGTAAAAAAAGAACATTAATATGAAAGCTAAGGCAGGGTTTGAGATTTGTGAGCAGTTTCACACCTGGTTCAGCCAGCTCAGAGCACTGACAGTGGATCCCCCGCTGCAGCCGTAGTTATTGTATGAGCAGTCAATCACCTGCTGCACGCTGAGCTCCTCCAGGGCATTTCCTTTAATTGCATAGACAGACTCTATGCCACCCACAATGCTGAAAGCCCAGCAGCCTCCACACTGGTACAAAGGGAAGGGAAATGGGAGAGAGAGCAAGTCAGCTTTGGGTTGGAAGCCTGATATGAAAAGAAAGAAAAATAGTCAAAAGGGTCTTATAATGCTCTTCATTTACTACATCATTCTTGAACATAATTTTTAAGGCAACAATATAGAAGTGTAATCAGCCATTTGAAACATTGCACTATTCCCCTGCTCTCTGAAAAACAGAAATGTATTATGGGTGCCTTATTTTAAGGATTCCCCCATTGCAGTTGTTTTATTTTAAGGATTCCCTCACAATTAATTTTTGCCCTTTAAGAGAGGTCTGGGGATTCTTTTTACTTTGAGAGATCTATTTTCTTCAAGAATGACTGGGGCTCAGGATGAAATTATTTTTTAACTACATTAGTAAGTTTTGGAAAACGATGCATTTATGAGAAAGTCTACCAGCTTTCTACAGTCTGAAGAATTTTATAGAAATATATTACCGTTTTTAAAAACCAGTAAACTGAAAATAAATGTAATAGAAAAATTACTAGACAGTAACAGAATCTATGCTGCTGTTCTAGGCTCTTTAACCTGTGGCATTTAGAACAGGAAGCACAATTTATTCCTAGGCAAAGCCCAGGTTACACTGTGTGAAGCAAAAAAAGGAAAGACATGATGACTCTAACAGCTTGTTTGTTTCTTACCAGTGACCATGAACATTTTGGATAAACTGTAGTCATGCGGGGTCAATTATCTTTCTATCATGAATGCACCCCCTGAGGCATCCAATGGTAAAGACATGGGTCTTGACCAGCCAAAGGCCTTCTTCAGTCATGGGAAAAAAACAACAGCAAAGAATCTGCACCCCTCCAGGTGAAGTGGGGGATTAGGTCTGGTACTCAGACTCCTCCAAAAAACATAAACTATAAATGGCTTAAAATCCCTGCAGATTTAATTAATTAGATTTAAGAAAAACTGTATTACACACAGTTGATAACTGCACAATTTCTGAACGCACAGCTTGCACAGCTCCGCCCTGGGCTCCACCAGCCTGGAGCTCACCTCCACAAGGAGCTGCAGCTGGGCTGGGCCACCGCTGGGATAATCAACTGGCCCAGGCAATGGGGCGCCTGGCACCCCGCTGATGTTGTGCCCTCCCCATAAGCGCGGGGGGAGCAGCGCTTGTCTTTGCGCGGGCTCACTGGTGGCTGGAGCGCAGGGGCTGTGCTCTTGCGTAAGGGGCTCTCCTCACTCACAGTATAGATCATCCCACTGCTGTTACTGTTATGACTGTTGTCTCCTCTCTCTGCCTTGCTTTATTAAACTGCCCTTACCTCAGCCCGTGGGCTTTTCCTTTTCTCTTCTTCCCGATTCTCCGCCCCGACACGTGGTGGGGTGCGGGGGAGCCGCGGGCAGCAGCTGCTGGGGCTTGGCTGCCAGCTGGGGCTCCACCACAAAACACACTAACCCTGCTTCTCATCAGATGCCACGCGACTTCGCGTGTGTTCAACCAGCCGTGCTTGTGCTAGTGTTCCAAGGAGCCTTAAGGCCGTGCTGGACCCTTCCAAGACCTTCACTGTGCTCTAGGATGTACCTGCTGGAGCTGTCTCTAAGCATCGCTTGAGAAGCAGGAAAGGAAAACACCAGGACTTACTGTTTGCTGATTTCTCACTTCTGCAATGACTTTCTTGTCTCTCCAGTCAAACTTCTTTGGCAAAGGTTTTTCCTTTCCCATTGGCACTTTCACGTATCTGGGAAGTTTGTGAGGTATGCTTCTTAAGTAAATAGCTAAACACAGAATACAAACATCTGTAACTCTACTAACTCCGAAAAAAACCCACACAAACCCAGAAACAACTGTTTCACTAGAAGCCATAGAGATAACTTTGATCTGTAGTTACAATCATGAGATGACATCTCATTCTCAAATCCTAAAATTCTTGTATTTTAAAACAACCATTATAGTCCAGAATGAATGTAAATACTCCTACAGTTCTAGAATAAGAACAGAAGTATGCCATGTAGGGAATAATCAACAGCCTTTCCATAAAACAAGTTTTGTTTGAAAATTTTCACATTTTACTTACTGAAAAAAAAGTCACTTTTAGTCAGGTAAAAGGGGAAAAATAAGAGGGGAATCATGTAGAGATTTGGAAATACAAAGAAAATTGCTAGTTTTTCACTAAAAAGCTGCTTAATTGTTTAATGTTTAAAAAGATGTGAAACACCCTGATTAATAGAACATATAACAGCAGACTTGGACAGGACAAAGGGAAGAGATCAGACAAATTTTCTTAGTGGGAAAAAAAAAAAATGGTGTGTCATATTGCTCCTGAAAGTCATAGCTGTCAATTATGCTATGGGTTAGGAAATAGGAATTTAACAGTACTTGAAAACCTTGTGTGTTTTCTGATTTAAAAACTGTTCCAACTAAAGAAGGCTCTAAGGCCCAGTAAGCAGAAGGAGAAAAGAGGGAAAGAAAGGAAACAAAGAAAGAAGGATCAGTCTGTATACTGAACCATATTCAGTCTCTGGGCAATTCAACCATACAAGACTAGAGAAACATGAAGAGGATTGTTGTATCCTTCCAAAGTGCTTACATTTTAGTAAAAGACATTGTAAACTAGCTGACTGTCAGCACTGGAAGAATATGTAAGTGTGAAGGACATGAGGCTCTGGGTAAGAGTACAAAAAAAATAAACAAAAAAATCCCCAAAGAAACAAAAACAAACCAAAACCCAAACAAGCAAGCAAGCAAACAAACAAAAAAACACAGCACCACCACCAAAAAACCCACACCAACAGAAAAGGCATTAACAGCACCTAGAAAATGTACCTTTGAACTCTTCAGGAAACAGATGAGAAAACTGATTTATTCCATAGAAAGCAGTCGTATTAACTCTTGATGATGAATTCAGTAATCTAATCCTTTTAGCACTTTCCTGAAGGGTAAAAAAAATACTGTGGATGTTACTAAGTAGTTGTGACAATACTGTAAGAGTAGAAAAAAAGGTTACCAACAGGAACCAAGAGACCCGTTCACCTCAGATTCATTGTGGATTCCCAGGAAGCCAATATGAAAGCCATCAGGCCAATTTCAACTCCATGAAAGATAGGAAAAAAGCATTTAAGTACATAGAGGGTAAAACATTGATATGTGAGAGACAAAACAGGCAAGCTGAGAACACATTGTGCCAGAATCGTGGGATGCCCTTCTTTGACAGCACAACAAACCTTGTAGTTCAGATACAAGTAAAAAGGTCTTCAGATAAGAGTTAGTGCAAGACGCTTATGTCCACAAAGCCCCGGTACCCGCCCCGCTGCCCTTGCCCCTTGACACCCGCCCGGCCCCCTCAGGCACCCCTCGCCCGGCGCGGTGGGGAGAAGGGGA